AGTAGTAGTAGTAGTAGCAATTAAGTGTTACATTAACAGTATTATAGTGATAAAAACAGGAACCATTAGTATAGGAATTAGTAAAACTAGAGTCAGTAGAGGCAGGAGCAGCAGCAGCGGTCGTCGTCTTCCACTTGGTATGCGCATGCGCATTCGTGCACTCGCCTTCGTGCTCACACCCGCACTCGTTCCGAACTCACTTTCGCAGTCGCATTCGTTGTCGCGGTTGTAGTCGCATTCGCATTAGTTGTCGCGTCGTCCGACTGCCCTTGATGAAGACGTCAGGGTAGGGAGGAAACCCTCCTGTTGCACCAAGAGGCTCCATAGTCAGGACATGCGCCATACACAGCTCCAGCCTCTTCCACTGCGCATTGCCTCATACTCAGAAAAATGGGAGCAAGCTCAAGGAGGATCCTTCGGCCCTCATCGGATTTTAAGACGTTCAAAACCCAATCCAAAAGGGAGTCCATTGGGTTTGCGGTTTAAGCCAACTGACAAACATCTCTCGTTCACAGCCGACTGCAACCAAAAGAAGCAACCGGCTGCAACCAAAAGAAGCAACGCGACGACAACATACGAGACAACCTCAGATCAACATCATCACATCATGCCATCCAAGCCACCTCCATAAAAAAAAACCCGTCGTCACGCTATCGGAAAAAGGAGACCTAAACCCAACAAAAACCACAAGAAACTACAACTATCAAAAGCAAAGCTGCATGAGCGTGGGTACGTGTCCGAGCATTTCCGATCGGGCGGATCTCCTGCAACTAAAGCCACATTATCAAATCTCAACTTTGAAGGTTTATAGGGTTTTTGTGGGGACAGTAACAATTGAAGTAGGGTTTGATGTTTTTTTTGCTTCCTGCCTGGCTGAGCGGGTCGCGAAGCAGGGTTTAGGAAGCAATTATAGTAAATTCACCTCTTCCGTGTTGGAGAGGGTACAGTCCAGCTTGAGTTGTTCCAGCGAGAGTTTGTTGCGCAGGAAATGCCAGGGCTGGCAAAAAAGCCATGTGCCCTTCAACTCTGCATTTGCACTTGTTCGTCGTCACCACTAATTCAGCCAGATAACCCCAATTACGACTTACAAATTACAAGTTCACATGCAGTGTCAGGCTTTCCACATGTAGGTATTTACCACAAGTAAACACACAACAAGAAACAGCAAACAACTAAAACCAAAAAACACAACACATCATGGGGCTATAGTCTTTGAGTCGATTTTGTTGGGACGGTTGTCGGTCCTTTGGTTCAACCCCAGGGCTGGATTTGTTTTGACATGTTGTTTTGATTTGGTTTTCGTTTGATTCAAACGATTTTTGACTTCTTGATGTAAATACTCTCTTTGCCGTTAAATCCGTTCGCTTCCTCCCTCCTCCGTGCAGCTCTTAGCAAATATTTATATACATATATATATAGATACACACATGTAACTCACACGTATGCATATATATCTATATAGATATATAGACATGTGGATCAATGTGGCGGGTTGCCGTAAAAAGGAATATATCATGTACCATATAGACAAAGGTCTACATGCCCAGACACACACGCACGCACGCACGCA